ACAGCGTACTTCTTAGGGGGGGGGGGGGAGTTGTCACAGCCTGAAATATATTCAGAGATCCAGCAAAAAAGGTTTGAGAACCCCTGTTATAACACACAGTGAGAAGTATACAATGGTGAATGTACAAGATGCCAAAGTAAAAAAGCCTTACTTCTACAAAATATGATTCTATAAACTACTTATAAAGTTTTTACATGGACATTTATCTTCAGAATTCTTTAACCATTTTTGTGTTTGGATTAATTAACTTTTTTATACCCATACTTTTTTGTGGATTCTGAAGGAATTATTTTCATGATGTTTTTTTAAGATTATCACCATAACTTATAAAATTTCAATTTTCTTAATTTTGTTTTTCCCTTAAGCATCAGGGATACCCACATGAAGCATTGTTGAGTAAATAGCCTCAAACCTCTCCCTGTTGAACATTTGGTGATAGAAGGATATGTAGAGAGACTGGTTGGAGACGAAGTAATCTTGAATGCTAGGTTCTTTGTCAATGCCCACTGACATTGTCATCACAAGAAACTTCAGCAGCTCATAGTGGGTAAAGAGTGTCCAGTTCAAATACCTCAACCGTTTCTGAGCAGGCATTTTCTTTGAAACTTGTGCTTTGATGTACCCATTGACAGCAGTGATGAGACTGTTACTTGCATCTTCTGTAAACAGAACTCTGAAACAGTCAAGGGGTGTTATCATTGATGTCGACATGTACACCAGGGTCATGTCTGTTCTTTGGCAAAACTCAAAGTCATTATTTGTGGCTGACCTATATTCCAGATCTACTACAGCCCAATTATTATAGATATATCTAGATCTAAGGGGTGGATCAAATCTAGTTGGGGCTTTGTACCACTGATTCCTGGTTGGGGCAAGCCCCCCCTTTGATCAGCTGATTGAGAATCACTGGAACTGGTTCTCGATGACTATTCTGAGATGCTTTCATCGGTAATCTCTTCCAAAGTCAAATTCAGAATCACCATTGTCATCACTTCCTCCATCATCTAACTGACTGAATACACTCATTGCTTGTTCAGCAGTAACACATTTCAGTGGCCTCTTTCCGCTCACCATCATTTGTTTAACAATTGATAGAAACAAATTGTTAGACTTCACAGGAAAACATGAAAAAAATTGGTCTCAAACACAACTTGTTGATTTGAAATTTGTTTCAAAACAAATGACAACACTTCATGGAATTTATGGTCTATTTACAAAAGGTGAATAATAACATGGTTTAGATTAGTTTTCAGCCAAAGAGACATAAATGTTATTGAACATTGTCATCATCCAATAGGTAAATCTGGATTTTTGGCCTGATACTGGCAGTGTCCACTCAGGTTTAAAAAGAGTTAAGAAACATACTTAATTCCAACTTTCTTTGTATGATGTACAATACTTAAGTGACCGAAGTTAAATGTAGAGGTGTAAAAAATACCATAAAACTGAAAATAACAAACTTCAAAATTACAATAAGTAACAAAAATAATTATTAGTACTGTATCTTCAATTTTTTTTCCCATTACAAAAACTAAAAGGAAGTCCAGTTATTTATTACACAAAAATACACAACAAGCTCACAATCTGAGAAGACAGTAAGATGAATATGGTTTATTGAAAGCAAATTTCATAATGACAATCACAAACTTTGGAATTCTCAACTCTATTCACTACAGTAAAGTTATCAGTTTCAACTTCAACATTCCAGACATTTGACACGTGATGAATTACACTCAACATACTTCCTAGTTTTATTGTCATGTATTATTTTATTCTAAAAGATCGCCACCTAGTAATGCATTGTGCATACTTGTTGGTCAGCAAGAAAACTTGTGTACAGTAAATGAATAGTTACTTTTCGGATTTACATCACATCAGTGTATCTAAAAAAAATCCCCTATTCTAAATACAGGTTTCAAAATACATTCAATTTGATTTTATGGATATTCTCTCAGCTTCTGCTAAAGAGGATATTAAAATTTTTCTTTAATTAGATAATACTTCATTCTATGTAAGGTAAAAAACATTGTTAGTTTCTTTGAGACAGTAAACTTCAAACTACAAGGATTGGCAGATTTTTAAAACATTTGTAGATTATATTATGAAACATATTTAGCAGGTTTCATAAATTTCAAAACCTTGTTCTTAATATAAGGTTTCAAAACTGAGCACATTGAGATACCTTTACTCATAACAAAAGTGCTACCCTTCACAATAAGCTACTAATCTAAGTTTTATCTTCCAAAGATAACATTTTAGATTCATAAAGACAAAGATAACCATCCTCTTAGACAAACCATACCTATAAGTCAGGTTTTATCTAATAAAATTTAATATTTTATTTTTATTTTTCAAGTTACTGATGTTATTCCCAAAACTAAGTGTCCATTTACTGAATAAAAGTTTCAGAGCATGTGAGTTCACTACATATAGGTGGGTATTCACTAGATAAAGACAACACAAGCTATTAAGATAAAAGAAAATTACAGGTGAAACTAACTTAATAGATTTGAAAGATTAATGCAATTACAGATTCCACAATATGTTTTCTGACTGTCACAATGAAACTGGTCATCAAACTTTAAGCTTAATTTTTAACTGATGCTCGTATTAGATGATTTGTGATCAACACATCTAAAAATATAAAATTACAGAAACATTATGTAGATGTCAAAAGTAAACTTTGTGGTTTGAAACAAACTTTAAAGAATCTTACCAATTGATCAGCTAGAAGTAAAACAGTTTTCAGACTAAATTTTCTATTACAGAAATTGAACAGATCTTCTAAACTGGGCCCCAAAAGTTCCATTACCATAACATTGTAATCTCCTTCTGAACCACACCACTTGATGATAGGGATTCCCACTGAAAATTCAATGATGTTTAAAACAAAATAATAAGCAGTAGCTTATTGTTCATAAAACTTATCTTACAGCAGAATCTTGAACACATATAATGCTTACACAGCTTACTTTTATCATTTTTCTATAACATATTTTGTATGAATCATCACTACGATAAATACACTTGTTCGTGAAAGGAATACTAACAAAACACACAAAAATAAGTACCATTAATAACAAAACTTTTCTTTCAAGCACATTTTTACACAAAACAAACTTGTTTACAAAAGTAAACTCAATCACTTGATGTACACGCAAAATAAATTAAAAATGTACAAGAAAACGTAGCAAATTAACAATATACTATTTCTTACAATGAATGAAAGTTTTTCAATTTGTTAGATTTATAATCAACCTTCATAACTATATCTGATATTGTGTAAATGTGTAAAATTTATTCGACTAGGAATTTCACAAAAATAATGTACTCCACTTTTCAGTCTTAGTGTTGACATTGTTTATTCATGCACTATTGTTTCAAATAGTGTTCCTTTTAAATGTTTGAGTCAGTGCTGTTTTTGGACATTTGTTTTAGTAATGAAAAAAAATCAATACCAGAATTGGTCACATTAATAAGGTGAAAAAAGAACTTATTATGAAGCATTCATACTTTATAAGAGCAACATATTTTGCAATAATTTTAGAAAAGCACTTCCACTGACTGCAGTTTTGCTAAACAAAATTAAAATACATGTATACAGTAAATTTTTAAATTTTAACATTTTCCTTACCTGAAAATGTATTTCAGATAGATATTCATCTCTCTGCAACACAAGGAGCTATTATTTTGCACACAATGCCATGTAAATTCCTGCACATGCCACCAACCTTGAACAAAGCTCCTACCCTTACACATGTCAGCGTATACTGTACTAGCCTATGATGTAATCACCATTAGACTATAGTCCACTACCAAAAGGAGAGCATCACATCCTTTATGCACAAACCCTATGAGCAATAGTATGTGAACACAAACTCATTATTGATGATGTAAAACAAATGCACTGGAAGTGGGGAGGAGGCACAAAGAGGCGAGTATCTATCTGAAATGCATTTAAGTAAGGAAAATGTTAACTTAAAAAAAAATGCTATTCACCTCTCTTCACTACAAAGAACCAGAATCCTACACTGAAGATGGTGAAGGAGCTGGTGTAGAGAAATTAAAAAGATGAGCTTTTTTTCTTGAAAACAATGTTAGATTGGGAAAGCCCATGGAGTGTGATATTCATCTCAAGCAATGAATACCCCTCTACCAACAGAGGTGGTAGTGCAAAAGATATTGTCATAATAACCTTTTGCTGAGTCCTAATGTGTCACTAAGATGGGCAGAATAGAAGATTGCCCAATCATCCATTATCTCACAGGTAGGCAGCTAAGCATGAGTGTGTAGTGTGAGTGCAGTTATAAGTCAGGCTAGACTATATTGGACAAATATTAACCACCAGGAATGGCTTGGTTCATAATGTAGTGGGGTGTCCTATACTACACAACCAGGTAACACAGAAGCTCTACTTCCCAAATGAGGGGTTTGTCCGCTCAATCTTGTACCAGTAAGATTGCACCACTTACTGTGGAACTCTCCATACTGACTTTCTCAGCAGCTTTTGAGACTTCGGAAGCAATGGTTCTTCCGTACACAACTAAAGAAAATTTGGGGGGGGGGACACCAGAGGGATGTAGGGACCACTGCCATCAGGCACGATCATCTGGAATTAGGTCTCACACTGAGAGACAGTGCAAGCGTGAGCCAGATGTTAGGGCAGGCACACATCTGTTATTATTTTTTGTCAAGTGCAGGTACTGAGCAGGGATGGATGGGCTTAACAATTTCTGTACTTCCCCATTTGATGTGGATTTTGGATAGGGATTTCCTTGGAGGCATCATCGGCCACTTTATGGGTTCAATTGTTTCCATAATAGATGCCCACCACAGGTATCAAAACCAAGTTTTTAGTTGTATAAGCTTTCAGACTTACAGGTGAGCCACTGGAGGGTTCCACCACTGCAGCCACTGTAAAGAGCAGAGAATGGTAACTAGAGAAAGATTAAAGCCAAAGTAAGTGAAACCTCCCCATGGTGTAATGCAGCTCCTAGCATTGGTATTAATTCAGCAATATTGTTTCAATAAACCAGCGAACCTTCTTGCAAAAAGTATGGTATAAACTCTTTCTAATGATCTCTGTACCTGCAAAATGATGTCCATGGAGAAAGTAAGTTCTTAGCCTGAAATCTGGATCTCAAAATATCTGAAGAACCTTTGGAAGGACCAAATCTCTCACATATTCATTAAGTTCACCTTGTTTGAAAAGTTGTGTTTCACAAAACATTTCCAGATGAAATTGTATCAAAAGTGGAGTAGGTACACATACATCAGGTCCATGAGCAAGAGGTCTTATGGCATATTGAAGGTTTGGATGAGAAATTTCCTTTTTACTTTGAGTGTTGTAGCCTTGCACATTACGTGAGAAAAAAATTGCAGTCATCTCCGTGATTTCTAGGCTCACCCAAAACCACTGAAATTCCAAAAGGCAAAGACTTTTTCTTACCTTTTGTCCATTGTCTCAACTCTTCGACACAAATAGTCCAAACTTTGTGTGGAGCCCATGATGTCTTGGTCCCCATGTTTTAATACAAAATATGCTTAATACATTTTTTTGATGAATTCTGTAATGTTTTGCATTTGTTTCTTTACAGCATATTTACCACAAATATAACAGAATATGTTTGGGTCATTTACACAACCTATTGTTGCCATAGTGAGGAATAAGTAATATTGAAAAGAAAAAAATAATGTCAAAGTGCATGCACAAACAAATACTTTCCAGAAATGACACATCACGCAGCCTGTTAGCTGTTTATATATTAGTAGTGTGTTTCTCGTGGTTTCTAGAATGATCGATAAGACTCTCACGTCGAGATTGGTCTAAAGAAATCTATAGCTAGTGGTTGTCAACATTTTAAGCATAACAAAATGTGACCCAATTTCAATGAAAAATATTCACTTATGTAAAAGTACATATGGCATTTTGTGAAAAAATCTGTACATGATGGAGAAAAATGGATATCATTTTTGGATTCAGCAAACAGGAAGTACTGCAGAACATGTAAAAATTTCAAGATAATAAAACCATTGCTGCCCTGTGTTATCTTATTGAAAAATGGACAACAGTTATTAGACAATCCTAGTGTGAATCACCAAATGTGCAAAATTTCAACTGCTGAAATTTTTTGTTTCTTGATAAATTAAAGAATTACTATAGCTACAGAAAGGGAAATCAGAGTGAAAATGAAAACTAGCAAGTAGGTTTTCCTTGGATTTTATATACAAACTTAACATAATATGTGAAAACTAAATAGATTAAAAATTTCAGAAAAGCTATCCATCTCTGCACCAGAAAGAGATATTACCTCACATGCACTTCTGTGTAAATTCCTACACATACCACAAGCCTTGAACAAAACTTCCACTCCTTCACTTGTCAAGGCTAATTGTGCCAGCCTACAATGTAATCATTATTCTACTATAGCCCTCCACCAATAGAAGCATGACATGGATCAGGTAGTCCCACTGCTATTCTTCACAGCTTGGATTCCATAGGTATGTCTTTTGTTTTCTTTTTTTCTCCAATAATTTTTTACTGAATCTTGGGCTCCCTTGTCGCATGAGCCTTCTTCTTCTGATTCCTTTCTTTCAGCTTAGTTATCTCCTCTTTTTTCTTCCTTTTTCATTCTCATCATCTACTCATCTTCATCTCACACTGACCTTCTTCGTTCATTCTCATACTTCATTTTTCACTTGGATGCTTTCCAACACAGCCCTATCAACATTACTGGAACAACTTGCATATGCCTTTTTTAACACCTTGCCCTCAGTTTTCTTCTATCTATCTCAGTTACCTTGGTTTTTTTGTTTCTCAGGTCTCCATTGTCAGGTTTCCTTACTTTTGCCTCCCTCAATCTTTTCTCCAGAATCTCTGATTTTCTATTGGGATCATGTGGTTTTTTATTGCCATCACAAGCTGATGTAACTCTTCAGCAGTCATCTCTACTCACTTTAGTTTCTTGCTCTTGGGACCAGGGTGCCACACCAGGTTTCTCATTGTTACTATCCATGGTCTTTCCCTCCTTGAGGGTTGGATGTATTGGGTTTTGGGGGCGATTCGTTTCTGGAGCCACTCTTCAGATCCAATTCTGTGGGAGCTCTGCTCTCTCACTTTGTCCACTGGTGAACTTCCTTTGCTATAGACAGTTTAGTTCCTCAGGTACTTCTCAAGGGATTTTTCTGTACTTCTACTTCCCACCTCACCTGTTTTAATTGCCATGGGGCAATTCCTCAACACCATTCTGAGAGTTTTGTGGCCATCTTTTTACCATTCCCACAAAGATGAGAAATTGTCTGGCAAATATCAGTCTGTTTCACTTGATCAAATTTTGTTTTTTCCTCAGTATATGACAGGAATTTTCTCATTCTCCACAGTGATGGATGACCGAAGTTGGAGTCTCAGACACTTCCTCCACATCTCCCTGCCTTTCACATATTTCAGTTCTTCTGCATTGGTCAAACATTCGTTCTCAATTTTTCCCTTCAAGTTGACTACAGACCCATTTTTTTCATTACATGCAAAGGGTTTTTACTTGGAGGTCACATTTTTAAGGTCTGTTGTTTCACTATGCTATGGACATTTGGTGTCTACTTGCCCTTTACACTGTGGCTTCCCCTGTTGTGACCTCATTTCATTTCATGAGTTGTTACATTTGTGGTGGCTGGTTCAGTTCTCCCATTCAGTCTCAACTACCACACTGTACTTCATTCATTTGGATATCTCCCTCACTTTGTACATAGGGTAGATTCAGTCTACATCTTTTTCTTTGTGACATGGACCTTTTGATACCAGGGCTTTCATGTCTCCCTTGTTTTCTGCTTAAGTCTTTATTTGGGTGTTTTTTTATGAAATCCCTTGTTCCTTTTGGATGTGCCTATACATGTTCAGTCTATGAACTTGTACAATTGTCTGGGTACTGAAGAGATTTTTAGCAATTATGTATACTTACATGCCAATTAGGTTTTAATACTTTTTTTGACAAAAAAAATTACATGGTTCTTAATTTTTTTTACATAAAAAAATTCAAAACAGGTTATAAAAACATTTGCAACATGTACAGGCTTTAAGAGTATAAGTCACTATAATTAATTGAAAATTATGAGCAACTAAAATGGGATCGAAACAATAACACAGTACAATAAAAATATGTTTCCCCACCATTAATGTGGCACCATCAGTTTTATTGTACGGCATTATTTTTCTACTCCCATCTTAGCGGTTTATAATTTAAGTATATGAGATACCTCCATCACTTACACTATTACTAGTATTAATTAATTTGCATTTTGAAGCATAAAACCAAGAAATACAAGGTTTTTATCATTAGACTCACCACCTCCTTGCATCATTCTGTAGAACTTGCTCTCAATGTGCAGCTGAGGATGTTTGGTTTTGATACATTCTAGCTTAATAGCTACTTCTTCTCCAGTACTTATGTTGGTTCCTGCAAACAAAAACAATAGCAATTTAAGTATAAGATAGCAAAAAATTATGAATCTTATTCTGAAATTTAAGTTGACAGGATATGATTAAAGAAACACTCATTTAATAACAGAATATACTGTGGTGAAACAAAAACTGGATGGAACCTTGGAAAAACAATAGCCCAACTCACATTAATGGTCAAACTCAAAAGAAATCAGAGTAAAAGAAGTCAAATTCAAACAGCAAGCAAAGAGTAGCCAAAATAAGACTGAAATACAGGACACAAGATAGCTTGGCTTCTGATAATATAGATTCAAGATATTAACTCTAATCATTCTGAAAGAATTTTTACTCAAAATGTGATAAAAATGAATGAGACAAACTTAATTTCAAAATATCTAACAGAAGGCACTAATAACCAAACTGCTAAAGTATGACATCTAAGAATAGTTGCACCATAACCAAACTGCTAAAATATCACATCTAAGAATTGTTGCACCATAACCAAACTATTAAAGTGTGACATCTAAGAATTGTTGCACCATAATCCAACTACTAAAGTATGACATCTAAGAATAGTTGCACCATAATCAAACTACTAAAGTATGACATCTAAGAATTGTTGCACCATAATCAAACTACTAAAGTATGACATCTAAGAATTGTTGCACCATAACCAAACAACTTAAGTATGACATCTAAGAATTGTTGCACCATAACCAAACTACTAAAGTATGACATCTAAGAATTGTTGCACCATAACCAAACTGCTAAAGCATGACATCTAAGAATTGTTGCACCATACTACCAGGGATTAAAAAAATGAAATCAAATTATATTCATTTGAGGGAAAGCTATCAGGAAGATTACATTCCATCATGTAAAGTTGCATTTCATCATGATTTTCTTTTTATTTAATCCATAGAGTATGCTCACTTTCATTGGTCATAACTAAAGGAATACAGATGGACCATGCATTTCCAATAAGAAAATCCAACTAAAAAGATGAAATTCCTCAAGCAAAATTAAATTTTTCAAGAATGCAATATTTTAATCCCTGACAATATTAATTAATGTCCATACTAGAAGGTCCAAACTTCTGTATCAAGGAAACAACTCCAGACTGAATTACATAGGGAAAAAAAAAAAAAAATTCAAATCTCATGAACTACATCTAAGCTGAAGAAGTTGTAAATAAGGAATAACTCAAATGTGGCCATCAATCAATGAAATATTTTAAGAACTATCCTAGTTTTAGTAAGCTTACCTATGGCCCTAACTATTATTAGCCCAAATAAGAAGGTATGGTACTAGTAGATTTTAATGTAGGTTTACTACTCCTCAAAATGCACAGTATGTAAACAATGTAAAAATAAAATGATTGCTTTTATTACTATTATCCCCCTCCATTTGGAATGACCACCACTTCCAAACAAACTTTGAGTGAATGACCTAATCCAAATCAAGAATATTGAGAATACAAATTTATCAAATGCTTTATCAAATAAAGACAACTTTTTTCTTACATATCATACCAGTAGGTTCAAGTTTTGAAAGCTCCTGTATAAACCTGTTTTTTAGTTACTTTTACACCACAATTACTTATATTGCAAGCTTGTGAAATAATCTGTTTATAGATGTGGTTCCTGTTGTTAGTTTAAATTTTTCTAAAATTTATTTTGATAGGTATATAGAAATGAAGATTACATTAAATATGGAATCGATATTCAGGTTCTTTGCTTCTGAGAGTGAGGGATTACATACTGTAACCTCAATGAATAAGTGACCCGGTATTTGGCTTTTTATTGTGTTGCATCAACAGCAAGCAATCTTTAATTTACCACACAAAAACAACAACAAAGGAATACAAATTTTAAAACTGCACTGTACATTTTACTTATGATAATGGGTCAATCTGGAGTCTTAGTCTCACTGACTAACTCCATAGGTTATCTTTACGACTTCCATTCAGATACATTACAAGAAAATATAAAATCACTTTAGTGAACATCAACAAGAAACTAGCGACTATTCTGTATCTAGCATCTCTTATAATAACTGAGAAGTATATTTGTTTCAAAACAAGCCTACAACCACACCTACAATAGATTTCCAAAGATTATATTTGGTTTAACATTTTGTAAACACTGCATATTACCACAGAAATAATACAGAAGACATCTATATGAATGCAACATAATGCATCATGAGACTTATCAGTGCAAAAATAGGCTTAACATGAGTTAAAAATTAAATTATTGCTAATTGGGCACTATTATGATCAAGAGGGTCAAAAGTACAAGAAAGAACAATGATGTACAGCTATTCAACTCAGTCCTCTCACACACCACAACAATAAGTCAAGTTAAATGTATCCCATTATAACTTATATTAATTAAGGTTATGAATATAATTGTTCAGGCACTATTGATCACATTACAATGCTTTGGTGGCACTGCAGTTGGAGTACTGTGTGTTGTTTTGGTCCTTTTACTACAGGAAGATTATTATGTTGAAAAAAGTCAGAGGTGGATTTCTAGAACAAAATCTGGTTCAAATTATTTAAGTTGTTGAGAGAGGCTTAAATTTTGGACTTGGAAACAAGAATTAGAACTTATTCAAGTAACCAAAATTGTTAGGACTTTGTACAGCCTTCCTATGGTAGAAACACATTAATACTAGACTCAAGTTTTTTGGTAGCCTTGATAAAGACTTTTTCTTCTAGAAAATTATTTAGATCAAGTGTTATAAATTTGTGAAACGATTTGCCTGTTAATATGTGATGTATACTGTTTGTCTGAATTCTGTTAAAATTTTGTTGTTTAAATTTATTGATTTTAGACTATATTGGACATGGGCTAATTTTACACACTGTTAGAGGGTGAGAGGTTATCTCAATGGGTATTTAAAGAATTAAACTATTAAGTCTTACCTTTAGCAGTTCAATGCATACCTAAATCATGGTCTAATAAATGCTTTCAAAATGACCATTAGCCAATTTGTTGATTATGGATAAACGTGTGGCATGTCTTCTCATGATGTTTACAAATTATGTGTATATCACAGTATCACTATACAATTATAGAACATTTATTTTACTATACTGAGACAAAACATTCTGTTATATAATATTTATCTCTCCTGATATAATTATTAAAAGGTTTACAATGTAATCAAACATCCCACATATAATCTGGTTCACACCATAACAGTCTTTTTTCACTTAAATTTGATGATATATATAGCAACTAGACCACTACTATATGTACCATGTCCCAGCCAGCCTGATGTGCCCTGGTATTTAGCAAAAGGCCTCATTTGACAGATGTGCTTGCCATATTAGCTGGAAGGCAACTAGTCAACAACTCTCACCACAAACTCTAGGGTTTGACTGTCACTTTTATAAAGTGTGGAACACTTTTTGCACCAACGGGTCTCAAATCACAAATCCTCAGATTGAGAGTCAAGCTAGCCAACCAATAGGCCACCTTCAGTCTAGCCCTTAGAAGTTAAAGACAAAATGTAAAATTAAGGTAGTGAAAACCTATTCATGACCCTAACAATTCTGGGGACCTGAATAATATTATCTTTAATTTTTTTAGGCATAACAAATTTTGGCATTGAAGAACAAATTAATGAAAATGGCTGATCTTAAATAAACTTTTCACTAACCAGAATAAAAGGAAGATTTTAATTTTTATTCTGCCTTTAAATTTTTTGCATCTTTTCATAATAATTTGATTTCTGAAATTCTAGACCTCACATTTGTAGTTTTTATGTGGGAGTGGGGCTTAAGTTATTCTAACATTAGTTATACCTAGGCTGTTATTGTTGATGCATTTAATGATTTATGTAAACTGACAAACAGAGCAGTATAGAATTTAGAAGATAAAACTACACTTCTGTACTATATCATCAAGACAGGTAACATATCTGTAAATTGTAAATGTAACCTTTAAAATAACTTACCAAGATAGATGTCACCAAAAGAACCACTTCCTATTTTTCTTCCAAGCCTGTACTTATTCCCAACTCGAAGTTCCATAGCTACAAGTATTAGAATAAAAAAGAAAAAAGTATTATGTACTTTTTATTTTATTTCCATATAAATATTGAACTCTACAACACGGTGATGCAATGTAGTCATTACTATCAGTATCAATACCAGTGCCAAACTGATCTAATTAACGTTATAATCTTGGGAATAAGTTACATGCTTACCTTCTTTCATAAATTTCCCTCGTGGTCGGAACTTAACATTTTGTAGAAAAAAAGGAGTTCATGTATTCCGTAATAAAGCCTGGAATTTTACGAATTACCTAATTTTACATTTTTCAATCCTTTCAATGTATATATACTATGCTAACATATCCACTGCGTTATCTCCAAAAAGTCAGCCTCACAATACCCGGATTCCCTTAATTGGTAGTTCATACGACTGTTAAGTTTATCTTTTTGTCAACCAGACGGCGCAAAACCTTAACAGCTGACATAGACGCACAAACACAAATATAACACCCATCAGTTTAGTGACAGAGATAACAAAGATGAATGTAAACCAATTGACTGTAAGGTTTAATTAAGCGATAATGACTTTAGATCGATTATCTAAAAAAAAATTTAATACTCGTATTCGTAATCTAAAAAGCTTCACATAAATAAAGCAAAATACAAAAACATTTAAATGTATCATTATCTTCTTAATATATTTTAAAATTAAAGTTACCAAAATCTCGATCAGCCGGTACTTTTACATTTAGTAGCTAGAATAAGCATTTTATTTTTTAGAAGGTTGTGACAGGTGCATAATAAGGAACTTTATAGTACTCAAAATTTGCAATATCAACAGCATGTTACGTTATGAACACGTTTAGGCAAACGAAAAAGAAAAAAATTGGTTTTACTGCCCCTAATGAAAAAATTGTGTGAATACGATGTTCTTTATTTGTCGTGTAAGAATGTAGTATTTTTTTAAATATATCTATTCAAGCAATAATCAGATAATGTGGACTGATAACTTGAATATATTTTAGCGTTCCCTTTGTTTTATTTATTTGTTTATTGTTGATGACTGTGTGTGTTTGAGTTTGATGACTATCATGTATAGAAAGAATGCTATTTGTTGATGCTGTTCAAATATTTTGGAATCTTGCCTTTAAAGTGTGGCAGTATTACTGCATTTTATAGTGTTGCTCATGAGAATGCTCTTTTCCAAATGTTCATTGTAGAGAACTGGCTATAAATGCAAGTTATGTCCACATTATTGCGTTTTAGAGCGTTGTTCACGAGAATGTTCTTTTCAAATTATTCGAGGAAGTGAAAAGACCATAAGGGGAAATCCATACCTATTTTATTTTGTTGTTAATAGTAGCTTTCTTCAACAGTTAGCAACATCTTGCAATTCGTACAGAAATGATTGAATTCCACAGAAAATTGAGTGCGTTATATTAAAAAGAATTTGAATATGCAAATCAACAAATCACGTGAATACTACAGCCGATATAAAGTTACAATGGTACAACATATGTATCAGAACTATAACATTGTTGAGAGTTTCGTGAGTAGTGTGATGCCATCAAAAATTGATTGTTTTAAAGGAAAATATGTAATATCTATTTTTGATGCAAAATATTCAAGCACTCAGACAATAAAGATGTATTCAAATCGGATTTAAAATTTCCAGGACGGGGATATTCCTTGTACTTTATGGCATTGGAAAAACAGCGTCTATGAATTTTTGTGCGATCGGAATGTTGGAATAGGTGCTGGGAAGCCGTCGTCCTCGTACATTAAATGAGTTATGGAAAGCCATCAAGGGGAGGGGTGTGTTGTAGACACGACAATCTTATCACGGAGCCTTTTGAAATTAAAACTATGCTGCAGAACTGTTATCAACATGAACATTCGTCAGACAAAACTGGACTGGACGTGGCGACATCGACTGTAACAACGTGGTGAGGCTCCAAATTATTTTCATAAAATGAACTCAATCTCTGTAATATGTTGGATATTGTCACTTGAGTGGATTGTTTCAGCGTTCTATCAGTTTTAGAGATTCTCATCAGTTATCACATTGGTGATAACGTAGATACATTAAAACTACTGATTATATCTTGTTGGTTTGGTGTGATCGTTCTAGTTATTTCTGCATAAAAATCCCGAATTTTTTACACTTGCATCTGTTTTTCTTGTTATTGATTATATAATGTTCATTGGATATTTGTATTATTTTCATATTTAATTCTACGTGTCTGATTTTTTTTTAAATCGAAGAACTAATCAAATTTAATTTTTGACTTCCTGCAGTCGAACCTTCTAAGAAAATAGAGAGAGACAGAAAAAGACTGAGATGATTTAGGTCTTCAGGTGGATATGTTGTTTAAGAATATAGTTCTCATCTGCAGATACACATGATCATTATGAATTAGATCTACAGATATACCTGATCATTATGTATTAGATCTACAGATATATCTGATTATTATGTATTAGATCTACAGAATGTTCCATCACAGTATGAGAAAATGGAAGCTACTTCTGAAACCTAAATAAAATGCTTATGAGGCTTCACAGTGGATGAGGTTTAAATTGAATTCAACATTCTAACTAAAAATATTACCTTAAGTACCCCTCATCGAGTTTCATAAGAGGTAATATTTATATAACTACGTATAACGTGACAGGCTTCATGACACTTTATTTTCCCGAAAAGGGGCTGAAGGCCGCCTGGAGAGGTCATCTGTTTTAACCACTTGCACCACCTTAAGTAGTGTGTTGTCTGTCAGTCAGTCGGTAGACACAAGGGACGCTTAACGTTGCAATTCATACTGTCAGTAAAACGTGCTCATGCCACGAATCACGAGAAGAACTATGCACTCTATAAGCTACAACACGGAATGACACATGAACTTCAAAAGCAAGAAAAAATGGATTTGTTACTCTTAATTTTGGTTTTATATACTTTTGAAACAGAACACTTTCGGTGACCCTGCGTAAGTACATCTAGTATACGTCACTACAGCTAATGCAGTTACATATCTTATCGTGCTTTTAAAAAGCTGCTCTTGGAAGTGACTATCTGTTTATCATCAACGCTGAATGAACAGACTTCTTAATGGTTGTTACATTGCCTACAAGTTCTAATTAAAAGCGGCTTCCTTTAAAAAAATAAAAAATTATTGTCTAACCAGATACATTGGGTCCTTACCAGAGAACACAAATTTTCACACAAAAAATCTTAATTGAATAATATACAATATATATCATAAATTGTCATACTATTCGTAAATATAGCTTTACGTGAAGATAGTTTATCATACGTTTTTGAGAGGAACTAACAAATTAACGAGCTCAGAGATGGCCTTGGCAGGTAGGCATTTGCTTAGGACAGCAAAATATACATGAGCGTAGTAAAATATTTGTTTTATAATTTAATCCCCTAACATAATTTTGTAGCTATGCCCTTCATATAAGTCTGGTTTAGAGCAAATCCACATGGTGCTATATGCTGTGTCCACCGCAAAGAATTGGACCCTAGCGCTGTAAGTCCGATAATTTACCGCTGTTCCACTGGTGACACATTGATATCGGAATGGCGAAGAAAGGGTGTAGTTATAAGAAAATATTAAACATAGATAATTAGGTCGAACAGACTAAACAAAAGAAATTAAAGTAGGGGAAAAAGAAATATAAGAGAGAGAGTAAGACATGAGAAATAAATTAAAGAACAACCTTAAGAAAAATAAAGTACATTGATCAAAACGAAACATCGCCATAAAAAAACTCAGTCTCAGTAATGATAAAGCAATGGAAAAGCACTGTATTACATTTGAATACGTCATAGCTTATTTATCGTATCTTGAGCCGCGGTCGGCTCTTTCTTATTCTTGTATCAAGTTTCAGGGTCTAGCCTTACGCGCAAGCGCATGAGGAGTCTGTCAATACGGCAGTACAGAAACACATTTGAGAACAATCTCTTCTCCTTTGCTAGGTTTAAATGTATGCGTTTCTTGAGCATTTATCGTATACCAAATAAATAGGCGTAACTGATGTAGATGAGTTTTTCTCTGTTTGGGTGCAATGGAGATCCACGTATAAAGTACGGTGTTTCGTTTAATATTTTTTAGTAATGCTAATAAGTCTATTTAGTAGTGTTTAATCACAGAATGTCGCAGACATCACTTGCCTGGCGTTGCGTAGAGAAAATGGAAGGTAGCAAGTGGAGAGTTAGAAAAGAAACAAAAGTTCCACTGAAAAATATGTGAAGGAGGATTTTACGGCAGGCAAAGGATACGAGCATGTGAAAAACTATAATGAAAAAATAAAGAGTGATAAACTAAGGAGTGCTATGTGTTTTTTGGCAAATGGGGAATTATTCAACTTTGAAATATTGCAAAAAGAAAAAGAAAAAAAAAAAGCTGATAGTGAAAAGAACAATGAACGAATTGTTGACGATAATTACGGACTTACAACATCAAGATAAAGGATTCGTCTCCTCTTGGGGGACAGAATGTAAATATTCTTGAATAATTGTTGTTCCGCAAGAAATAAATGATAATAAAGAATAAGTTAATACGTCTAAATGACAACAGTTTTCTAGTTTATTATCTGCGTGCAGACGCGGCCCGGCATGGTTAGGGCGCTTGACTTCCCATCTCACCAACATGCTCGCCCTTTCAGCCCTGGGGGAGTTATAATATGACATTCAATCCCACTATTCGTTGGTAAAAGAGTAGCCCAAGATTTGGTGGTGGGTGGTGATGACTAGCTGCCTTCCCTCTAGTCTTTCACTACTACATTAGGGACGGTTAGCGCAGATAGCCCTCGTGTAGCTTTGCGCGAAATCAAAACAAACCAATCGAGAAGACGCCTTTCATCGCGCAGTAAAGACCGTGTTACAATGAAACTAGGCTCAGAATGTAAAATACCCCATTGTCTATCTTTGCGCGTAAACAACAATATGATGATTATCAAGTTATTAAAGTTTCAATAACTCCTACCCAGTGGCCAAATGGTATTACAGATGAAATGAGAAAACTGTTTGTACTAAAATGTTCACTGAGTAAATAAAATGTTTATAGTTTCTTAGAGCAAAAACGAAAGATAATTTGCTGTAGCCTAATAATAACCGCTATCTTGTTAACGGATAACAAACACAGGAGCCTTGGAGTTCATTCATTTAAACGAAATAGTATACATAAAATCAATCTATGTTTAAATATGAAGGAAGGAATGAGCCTATTTAAAATCCAGTGCAACGGCTCAAAATAATTTTTATATCATTTCTTACACCGTCGTTCAGTATCCACAAGAAAGATTCGTTCAATTAAAATAGCGCAGTGACTTACTTCTTTTCCTGTCATATATACCAGGTGATATCAGAGATCACTGACTGCTCTTCTAGAACAACAATCTCAGTCGGGAGACGTTAATGTGTTGGAAATCTGTGATGAACCCAAAGCATTGTCAGTAAACATCCCACCAGGGGCGATTCCAATTCATGCAGTAAAGAATATAGTAGAAAGTAAACTCATCTCTTTGTCCTCAAATGTATATATATTGCAGTGAGAATTATTCTGACATTACACGGCTGCTAATGGAGAATGAAACTAATCTCAACTAACCTGAGATCCACAATGGCTCAGGAACTTTTTGTTGGTCTGTCCATCAAAGCAATCGAGCACCAAACCGCTGAGTCATTGAACTTGAAATAACTTGTTCGAGATTCCGTTCATTAATTAAAAGTCCAAAACGGACTTTTTACTGTAAATTGTATATATATATATATTTTTTTTTTGTAGTGTAATGTTGCGGTCAGAACCTAAAAGTTTGATTTCTCATGGAAATATCAAATCTAAACCTCAAAATATATTTATTTGTGTTGCATGTAATTACAGATGTAACAGTTGTATTGACTAGAACAGTACACCTTTCCTTTAGCGCCTCGACATGTAATTAGCCAACACAATCACTATAGTATGTTTTCGTATACATTTCGTCAAGGAGAACAGAATACCTCTCTGTCAAGACTGGCAAAAACCCTAATGCCGGGACTAAATTAATCCAGTGGCGCTCTACAGCATTTGGGTATTTTCTTTTACTCTTTTATGATATATTCATGATTACAGTAACAAAGGCAGCTCGAATATGTCACATTCAACCGTTGAGAAAGTACGACGTTTTTACTTGATACTTTCAATGGTGGAATCAAATAAAAGAATTAGTATGCATCAGCTCCTAGAAGAAGCTATAAACCAATTCTAAATAAGACGAGTTCTAAGAAATTGCGATGAAACATTATAAAAGGGATCTTGTTTTCTCAAACATGGAATTATTCAATATACGACAAAGAATCTACATCCGTTTCAGCACAAGTTTATGAAAGGTTGTGTCAAAGTTTAAAGGTATTCCAAAAATTTTGTTGAATTTGTGACAATTTGCGAAAAAGTAAAATTTAAACGTCCTTGTGTAAGAGTTTGATGTTAGGTTTGTAGGGAGGATTTTTCGTCTTCCTCCCCCCAACAGTGACTCAGGGGTAAGTTTGAAGGCTTATAACGCTAAACACCGCGTTTCGATACCAGTTGTCCAGCTTTTTGCTTAACTACAAACAGAAAATAAGGCAAACAAACAAAGCCCTGAAATTGTTGCGCTTGAAATAAAGCGACAAAAAAAAAAGAGTTGCTACATTGTATAAAATGATATTACTAATCACATTTCGAAGTCGTTTTTCTACATCATAAAGCTGAACCATGCATATATTTCTTATTAAATTATCAATAAAAACACAATTACAAGTTGAGTGTGTGTGTGCGCGCGCATGTTTGCGACAATAACACTTACCAGTAATTACTTTCAAACCAGTGACCAAAAACCCAAGCCTTTTGTGATCATGCACACGAATTTTAGTCATCAACAATGAATTATCTAACTAGTTGAAAATACTGCTAGCATCCATTTTGAAGTACAAAGCTCATAAATATTCATCGTAATTTATTTTTTCTATCATTTCAATAAATTTCAGTCTGACAAAATGTATTCACCTGCATCTCACGGATTGTTTTCCAGGAAATCATCCTGACCATTTTTTTTCTTACAAAGAATACGTACAGAATAATTAATTCTGACCAAAGTAAGCTATGCACTTAGAGCTGAACTAAAAATCAACCCGGCCATCAGTACAGCCAACTCAGTATACTTTTCTTACGTTTCTGCTTATAACGATTAGAACGCATTGTTTCATCAGCCTCTCTCTTAACGATATTTTCGATCGTAATACAGAGTGACCCAGTTTCTTGCTATCGATTTTTGTGTGCAAGAGCAAAAAGGAAAGGAACAGTATATAATGCTCTTTTTGAATGTCCTGTATTTTTGATTTATTCCTATCAAAAACTATCTATATTGTATCTTTCTTATACTGTCATCTAATTGTGAATAAAAACACCTTCTGTACGTGTAGACAATTACTTCCTTGTTTATAGGGTTCTTCATGTCTGTTCCTTTGCTTACCCATGAATATTTTATATTTAGTGTTTTCGTATCATCATATTTTCACATATTTATATTTCAGTTTGTTTTTTTCTTCTTACAATTCTCCTGCTCAGATTACTTCTGTTTTTCCTTCCAGGGATTTACTTTTTTAATACTGTAAACATTCACAAGCATGTTGGAAATTTCATTGCTAATGACGTGCAGTAATTAATACATTTTAATTTAAGTATTTTATATAATAGGCTTTTTTTTCTAAAGCTATACAGTGATTAAGATATTGTGTAAATACGAAATTATTGTGATTTGATAGGGGTATTTTGAAGTATTCTATAAAAACAGCAGTTTCCAAAAAAAAACCAACTACTTTATTTATAATCCACACAGCGTCAGATATATTCTTTCTCATCTTAAAAACAAAGCATACTCCTAGACATTTGATTGTTAAAGTCTCAAAACTACAATTGTTTGAAGTTCATTTTGAAGTAGTTGTTTTTAACTTCATATTCATAACAATGCTTTAAGCAACACATGCAGATACACTTCCTGTATATATGTATTTTAGAGTAAAGCATTAAAAGTGAAAACATAGAAGACAGCAGACTTGAGACACAATTAGGCTAATTAACTGAAAACAAGTAAGAATCCCTCAAAGATTAAATTGAGTTTTTATTTATCAACTCAAATTATGTTTCATACACATATGTTATGCTGATTTCTTTCTTCCTCAGCTGGTCAAACAGCTCTTACTTGTCACCATGTAACAAATACATTTTGTATTTGATTTTAGCTATGGTATATTTTATGTCTAAAATAAACTTTTTTTTTATTAGGGTTTAGTTTTTTATCTCCTACCATTGTAATGTTTTACTATAATATATATCTGATATCCCAGTATATTTCTCTTCTTTAATATAATTATATCCTTGTCTTTCGCTTGAGTTGCATATTTATGTGTATATTGTCCATGATTCAGGACAAATGTATACAGACGCTTGAGTACGTTATACTGAAACGATTTTGATTATGTAAATCACCAAGTCGCTTGACAACCATAACAAATAAAACAGTGGGACTACATACATCAGATCTACATTTTGATATTATTTGGTGTTTGAGTATGTAACAGCCCTTTCCAACGTAAAATATTAATATACTCGAATCATAAAGCTGTGTTCAAATTGGGGAGTTTTAATCTTCAAGACGGCGATATCATTTGTACTTAATGTTATTGGAAAACCAAAGAATATGGATCAACTTGGAGTACCAGTACCACCCAGAAAGAGACCTTTAGAAAATCGTACTCTTGCTATGGTAATAAAAATCTGCCGCCTTGGAACAGTTAAAAATCCACGAACACAAACGTCAGTTGCAAAAACCATCTTTGTGACCAAGGCAACAAACAATACGCAACCTGATCAAGAAGTATATCCTTCTGTAAAAGAGACACAAGTCACATGTACATAAGTCGCTTCCACGAAATATCAGTTCAATTATCGCACACATTAAGCAGCTGGAGAATGAATAATGAATGATTAAATAGTATTAATACCAGGTGGAGAATGAAACTGGAGTTAATGCTATTTAATAAGAAAACATACTGCTCAAGTCGCTGGACGAAGCGTCTACAGAATTAAATAGTATTAATACCAGGTGGAGAATGAAACTGGAGTTAATGCTATTTAATAAGAAAACATACTGCTCAAGTCGCTGGACGAAGCGTCTACAGATTTAAATAGTATTAATACCAGGTGGAGAATGAAACTGGTGTTAATGCTATTTAATAAGAAAAAATACCGCTCAAGTCGCTGGACAAAGCGTCTACAGAATTAAATAGTATTAATACCAGGTGGAGAATGAAACTGGTGTTAATGCTATTTCATAAGAAAACATACCGCTCAAGTCGCTGAACGCAGCGTCTACAGATTTCTAAGCTACCAAATTGTTAAAACAGGTGCTGGGAAACCGTCATTTTTATACAATAGTTGAATTACGGAAAGCTATTGGGGAATAGAGGTGTTTTTGTGCATGACAGCTTTCCAACGGCACCTTTTGTAATGAAAACTACTCTACAGAGCTATTGTTAATATGCGCAGACATCAGATAGAGCACGGCTGGACGTGGCGACTTGGACTGTAGTGATATAGTGAAGATCCAAAATCTTTTAAATATAACGTAATCAGTGTCTGTAGACAACTTTTGTTCTACTGATTAGATTTAATCAGGGTCCCGAAGAAAGATTGGTATGTGGGTCGCTTAATAATTCCGTGGTGGGCAGAGCACAGATCGCCCATTGTGTAGCTTTGTGCTTAATTACAAATACACAATCTCTTAATAATAAGTTTATCCCTGCCTTTTCCAGGCCGAGAAGAAGGTGAAACTTTTAAATTATGTCACGAACAAAGGATGAATTTTCCTAAGTATAGATATTGCTTAATTAATGGTTAGGCTTAACTTATACACGAATGTATTAATTTTGACTGATGATAAATATGTACTAGATGTAAATGAGTGTGTATAAAGGTCTGTCTTTGATAGCTACATACGGTCATAATTCGTGTTTAAAATAAAACAAAATGTGAAAAAAAATTATAATCATATACTTTTATATTCTTAACACAGAAATTTACTTACACGATATATGTAGAATTTTAAGGTAACGATAATATATTTAAAAAATATTGCAATGCATAGTGATTATATGATATATTGTTATAAGTATCCTAGACCAGGTCATTACCTAACTATCACTATTTCAAATATATACATATAAAATGCCAAATTTTACCGAAAATAAACAGAGATCATACAAAACCTATTGCACCAAATAAATGACATGGGGAAATAGGGAGCGTAAGATTACTGTTTGTTCAGTTAATAAGTTGGGGGAAAAACAACATTATATGTAAATATTCCTTAGAAATAATAAAAAATGAAAAGGGGGAGAGAAAAGAATAAAACGTATTATAACGTAAGATTTAAATGTAAATCATCAGTTCTACAGAAAACACATCAAGAAGTTAGCCGTCATTTCTAACATTAAAGAGTAGAAATTCAACATTCCAAATTCACATTGACCTGTGCGTTTTACTATACATAAACGTTTGACACCGTAACTTCTTTACTGAATATATCTTTACAGCTTCTTCCTAGCACCAGTGACGTCGGGATGCTTGTTACGACGAAGGTAAAGACGGTGTTGCCGAGTGTCATATCGCTGCTTTCGACGTTCTCCGGCTGCTAGATGGCAGCACTTGTGAAAGATGGCTCCTTCGCTGGCAACGCACTGCTCAAACGTGCGCATCAATTTTTGTCCGTAATTGGGGACTTGTTCGTGGCCGTGGAACGCTATCTTGCGATTATGAGCTCTATTATAGTTACGCATGATAATTCTGGCAGCGTAAAAATTGACATAACAGTGGAAACCTTTGTCTCCAGCTATCTGGCCCAGGATACAGCACGTGACTTTCTTGTCTTTCTTCAGACCTAAAATCATAGAGTATTTCTTCTATACAACAGTTTTCCATAGAATGTTCAAAACCGACATAAAACTAACAAGTTATCATAACACCTCAAGTCACAAAAAATCTTATAATCAAACAAGATTATTTAACTCAGTGCAACATATGTTCTCTTTTCCATTACGTAGTTGACAGGTTTAATTTTTATTCTAAACCGAATCTAATAACTAGCACTTCTTACCCAATAAATAATCAAGTTTAGTTTTGTGATAAAAATACATTTTACACTGAATAGTTTGCTACCGGTAAGATTTTCTCATCCCACAAAATAATCTTACTCGATCAGGGGCGGATCCAGGTCTTTATAAGGGAGTGGTTTGTCTTCTTCCACCAGGCCATTTTTTCATTAGGTCTAAGGATACTTTTGTTTGGTATTCCATCGGTAAGTAGGGTTGCAACCCCCCCCCCCTGGATCCACCAGTGCCTATTTATTACTCTCGCCCACGGAGTGGGGGGGGGGGCGAGGATATTGCAGTCGGGTCCGTGTATGTGTCTGTTTCGCGCGTGTATCTCGAAAACTAATAGACCTATGTACACCAGCATTTTACACAAGATAGGAAGTCAATATGGAGCAATCTTCCCGAAATTTTGTCCGGATCCAACTCCGTATCCGGATTCTGGATCACTTTAAAGCATTTTTTATAATGGGGAGATAGGGTATATTCGCGGTTTTGGGTTAATAACTCTGTAAAGTTTGTACCAAGTTTCTTGGGCACATTAAGCTTAAGGCTCGTCATTACGCTACAAAAAAATTTATCCGGATCGTTGATCATTTTGGATCTGAGAAGGATTTTCAAAGTTTTCGAAGGTGAAATTTGACGTTATCCAATATAAACGCATGCAATCTCGAACAGTAGGGGCGGGGCGAGGGTATGCA